GAGGACAGAGGGTCTTCTTGGAGATGTCTCTTCCATAGGATTGCCATGAGTGGTTTTACCAGTTCCTTCCTCTGAAATATAGCCAACAGCATGCGGTAGAATTCAAAGATATAGCCATGCTAGTCTTCAAAATCACTGTGCAAAGAGATCTTGTAGCACCTTTGAGACTAACTGAAAGAAACAAGTTGGCAACATGAGCTTTCCTAGACTAAAGTCTACTTCTTCAGATGCATTTGGACAATGCATCCAAGGAAGAAGACCAAATGCATCTGAAGAAGCAGACCTAGGTGCTGCCTACTTCTTTCTTTCAATTGGTCTCAACAGCATGTGGTAGTTGATGTTGGTCTCTCCTCCAAGTGCTAACCAGGGATAACCTTGCTTAGCTTCCAAGACGAGACAGGATCTGGTTTCTTTAGAGTATCGAGGCCCTTTGAGTCCATTATAGCCACCCAGATCTCATGTGCATTGTGTCCATTAAGAAGGGTCCAGCGAGAAACTCTCTCTGGGTCCTCCCGAGAAGATGGGGACCATGATGGGGGTCCATGTTTCCATCTTCTTCCCTACTGCTCCTGACCCCCCAACCTGGAGAGCCCTTTTGACTGCCCCCCCTTCCAGGGTGCTGTAACATTATTTGTTAACATTTTTATGAAGCCAAATGGTCCGCGCTAGAGCGGGCGCCATTCTTTAGCTGAGAAACCATATGGCACGCAGTGCCATAAATAAAGTATTGTGATAGTTAATGAACCTAATTGCCAGCGAAAGGCTTTAATACAAAAGCCCTGCGCCGCTGAGAATTTAGCACCGCATCAGGGATGCGCCGGCGCTCCCCCGACTTCTGAGGCTTAATTTAAGTTCTATATTGCAAACTCCAGAAAATAATTCCAAACCCTCCTGCTGGAAAAGCAACCTGCTGCTAGACTGTGATTATACTGAATTACTAAAAAATTGCAATCCATTTTATTCACACGGTTAACCCTTTGCTAGGGCCTTCTCCACAGGGGTAATCTCATACCCAGAGACAAGTCATCAAAGCAATGGGCTCTGATCTCTTCCATTTACAAGGTATGGCTTCAAGGATTGCTTAGAATAATAAAATGGTACAGTTGGAAGGGGCAACAAGGGTCATCCAGACTAAGCTCATTCTGCCATGCAGGGAGATGCAAATATAGCACTGTTGAAAATGGTCCATCCGAGTTCTGTTTAAAGACCTCCAAAGATGGAGAGTCTACAACCTTCTAAGGCAATCCATTCCACCATCAGTCACTCTTACAGTAAAATAAAAGTTCTTCCTAATATTCCTTTCTTGGGATGTGAATCCGTTGGTTCATGTTCTTGTCTCTGGAACAGCAGAAAACAACTTTGTTCCATCTTCTTCAAGACCTCCCTTCAGCTTTTTAAAGTTAGCTATCATCTCACCTCTCAGCCTTCTCTTCTCCAAGCTAAATGTACCCAACAACCTCAGTTGTTCTTCAATAGGCTTGACCTTTCCCAGCATGACCAGATGTCCTCACTGCAAAGAAGGACGAGGCACTGCAAAATGTTGGACGTTCAAGGAAAATGGAAGGCATGGCCAACTAAAAAGCAAAAACACTCATATAAAGATAAATTCATGCTTCTTGGTTACGCTCCAAATGGAGGACATTTTGAAATTCTTCCTAGAGAGAAGGATGAAATGGGGGAGATGTCTGGAATAAGGAGGATATCTGGTCACTTTGACCTTTCCAGAACTTTGATAATTGTGGTCACCCTCCTCTGGACACGCTCTAGCTTGTCCACATTGTTCTTGAATTGTGGCACCCTGGAGGCAGGAGGATAGATTATACAGACAGAGGATCATCGCCAATGGAGGTGGTCCACATAGACACCTGCAAGCATAATAGATGGCATTTTATTCATGATTTATGCAGCTATCAAGTCACACTTAATGGGGGGGGGGGGTTGGGAGGGAAACAATGTGCCATCATCATGTCCAGTTAGTTGGGACTAACCCATAGCTTTCCAGCTGTTATTGTTAGTCCTGAATAGCATGAACCCATTGAAACAACTGGATTGACCTATTTGTTGATTCTTCATTCAACAGTTGATTCAATGGCCTAGTCTACTTGAGACCAACCAAGAGGATTCTAGCCATTACTACAAGACCACACTAAAAGTATTTCTTCGCTGCTATTGCACTGGTTTGACCAAATGTTTGCTCTTTGGACACCTATGTGTTGTGGCGGGAGGTGGAAACATCAATTATCTATTACTTATGTGGCTGTTAGAGATGGAAATAATGGCCAGTGTAGGTCAGGGCCAGCACAGAATAATGGTTTGGACATTGGACTAGGAGACTGAGAGACCAGGCACAAGGCTTCAAATCCTGGGTTGGTCATGGCAACCCACTGGGTGACCTTGGGCAAGTCACACTCTCTCAGCTTCAGAGGATGGCAATGGCAACCCACCCTCAGAAGAAACACGGGAAGAAAACCCCATGATAGGTTTGCCTTAGGGTCACCATAAGTCGGAAATGACTTGAAGACACACTACAACAACAAAGTGGACTTCCATCTTGCTTTACTACATGGGGGAGCTGGCAAAGTGACCAATGCACATTGTGATCAATGGAGAATGGGATTGATGCTCATCTGCTTAGGAGCGAAGCATCAGAAGTCCACCACAACCAGCTATGTGGACAATGGAGAGCTTTTGATGGCATTTAGGAACATGTTGTCAGATATGGAGGTCGCATCTCTAGGAGCCTGCAAATAGATTTTCCTGAGGTGCAGCCAAGTTTTTGCAAGCTTTATTGATCAGGCCCTGCAGGAGGAGCCAGACTAACAATAAAGATATCAGGAAAGAGCTGGGATAGCACCAAGAGGTGTCTGCAAATTTAGACTGTAATTGACAACAGTGTGTGACACACACAGGAGCTTGTTTCTTGCTACATTATGCTCTCATCTTCCTACTGCCTCCTTTCCAGTCCTGGGTAAGACATGGCAAAGATTTATTGCCCTACTGATGTGGGAAACCATCAGCTAGCACTAAAACTTGTCCATGTTCAGCTATGAACTCAGCCTAGCAATGAGATAACCCTGCTAATTATTGCATTTTATTAATTATCTGAGAGCTGTCAGCATGGCATAGTGGTTTGAGGATTGGACTGTGACTTTGGAGACCAGGGTTCAAATTCCCAGCTCCACCATGAAACCTTCTGGGTGACAAAATGGGCAGCTCACACTCTCTCAGCCCCAGGGATACCTTCTCTGAATCTTGCCAGGAAAACCCTGTGATAGGGTTGCCGTAAGTCAAAAATGACTTGGAGTCACACAACTATGACTCTGGAGACTGTCAGATTCCCCCTCGGCCATGAAACCCACTGGGCGATCTTGGGTGCAAGTCACACTATCTCAGCCTCAGGGGAAGGCTATGGCAAAACTCCTCTGAACAAATCTTGCCAAGAAAACCCTATGATAGGGCTGCCATGAGTCAGAAACGACTTGAAGGCACACAACAACAAACAACAAGGATAGTCTCGGTTTGGCAACCCTACTCTCAACATGTGTCACCGGCAAACTATGGGTTGCACACTTTGGCTAGAATCCCTGGTGGAAATATGACTGGACCCCCTCCTCATTTTCCAAAATTGTACAAGCTCCTGGAGCCAGAAGACATGCTAAATTTGCCAAGTATTGTTGCTGAGATGGAAGGGAGCTGAGAAGGTCTCGTGGTGGCTGTATCATCCCAGGAAGGAAAGAGCCAAGACAGAGGATTGTGTTGGAGGGATTTAACATTGTACATAAATACACTTTACAATCGGAGGAAGGCTCTGTGCAAAGACAGAGCAATTGTGGAGGGGGCTGCGGGAGGAACCATTGAAATATTTTTATAGTGATGCAGATTAAGTGAAAAGGCTGTGAATAATAAAAAAAAAAGGAGGGGAGAGATAATTATTTGATGGAGTTCTCTTAGGATTCGCCACAGCAGGGAATACTTACAGAGAATACATATTACCG